TTTTTTTGCTCTAGTGTCTTTTGTTTGTTTATGTGGAACCGATGTTTCTATGGTTTTGTTTTGTATTGGGTATGTGTAGGTTGTGCTGTGTTCTTTGGTTTTTGATTTTTTTTTTTTTTTTTTTTTTTTTACGTGTATTGGTTTTGATTTATTTGTTTATTTATTTTTTTTTGGTGATTCCTTTTTTTTTTTTTTTCTGTTTTTCTTGAGGAATGTTGGATTGATAGAGATGTTTGTACAGTATAGACGAAAGATTTATTGTCTTTCTTGTTTGATTTTTTTCTCATTCACTGTGTTGGTGTCAGCGTATTGGGAGTTTGCTGAAAATGATGTGGCTCAAGTTCAACCTACCTGGAGTTGGTGTATTAGAAATATGGGTCGTTACGCTTTTCCCGTGAATTCTACATATTTTAAATGGTTGGAGAATCCGTGTTGCTTCGTTGATATGGATGTCAAACGTATTCAACAGGACGTTCTTTTCCGTGAAAGACAGAATTGTTTTGTATTTATTGGTGATAGTGTTGCATATCGAAATTTTGGATTTGTTGTTAATTCATTTCTTCCTTTTGGGCATATTAACGGATACGAGAGAATTAGAAATGTTCCGGATCACATTAATATTTCTGGTCCCATTTCAGAATTTAAGTTGATGTCTTTAAATATCAGCAGCGATTCACATGTTGAAACATTTGTTAATTCTCGTGATTCTAATATTTCAAAGGTAAGATATACTAGTGTGCATTATTATAAAAATCGCTATATAAGTCTATTATCACCTTTGATTGAGAGTATAATTAATCAGACCGATGATGGGATTGTTTTGATTTATGTGGGCACATGGGACTTAAATTGGCAAATAAATAATAGGGAAAGGGTACCAAATTTAGGTGGACCTTCACGTCATTTTCCTACTGCTATTAAGTACTGGACGAAATATGTTCGTGTGCTAATGGAAGCCATTCAACGTGCTCTTAAACGGAAACCGTTAAATCGTCGTCCTATAATTATGATTCTGGAACAGTTTTCTCTTTATTGTCGTGCGAGCCGATTTGTTGGAAGATCGAATATGTTCAAAAGATGCAGTGATTTTACACAACCCATAGTTGTTCCATTATATCGTCGTGTAGTTGCCGCCATGGCATGGCATATGAACATTCCAGTTATTCCTAGCGAACATTACTTCAAAGATAACTATAAGTATTGTAAAATTTCTGACGGTGTTCACTTAGATGAGGAGTGTATGATGACAGTGCAACAACATATTTGGAATGCTTATTTGCTTTTTCGTAGAAACCGTGTGGTACAGGGTTTATTACCAGCGTTTCGGGAATTACCTGATCCAATGACTTTTGTTAGTGCCGAGACGTACGCAGAGTGGCGTCATCATTTAGACGATGTCGAGAGTGGTAATACTGAAAATAACGAATTGCTACAGGTGGAAATGGGTACTGCATTTATTGCCTTACTTTGGTTCTTTGCGCTTATGTTTATTTTGGGAATACTTCTTTCAAGCAAATGTAACAGGTCTTCTATGAGACGTGAGGAATCCTCAGGAAGGAATAACTCTTTATATTAATGGCGAGGCATGTACTTTTTCTTTTAATTGTTTTTATTATTATTATTATTATTATTATTATTATTATTATTATTATTATTATTATTGCTTCTCTACCATAATTATTTTCTCAAGGAGCATTCTTGTGTGATGCGTTTAGCGTGAACTTCTCTTTACCCTTCTAGGAGTCTGTATATATATAATATATATTTACTCTATTGGCGTTTCTCTATGGGGGGTGGTGGGGGAAATGCTGATTCTGTTGAAACCAAAAAAAAAATATATATATTTTTTTGACTGGTTTTTTTTTTTTTCCTTTTTTGGGATGATCTTCCTTTCTTTTCTTTTCTTTTCTTTTATTGTGTTAATCCATTTGGCATCTAAATTCTAATGGTTATCATGGTCACCATTAGATTGCTGCAGTGGCTTGTAAGATAGTTTACATAGCTCTGCATAGATGGGGGCGGTGAAAAGCAAACCGGTGCGTGAGGCTCCTGTTCGCTATGTTGCAAAACAACTTCCCCGTGTTGACAAGGTACCTGTTGAGCAACAATTTAAAAAACCCGAGTTTACGGCTCGTGGTATCAACAAGCGCCTTGATGATGTGAACACTGAACCTCTCATGTATGTAGAGACATCAAAAGATGCAAGCAGCACAGAACTAACGGACCACACCGCCCCACGATGGTATCTCAACACATACATGGAAATGGTGGATAATCAGCGTACTGATCAAGTTATCATTAGCGGTAACCTCCCACTTTCATGGGAGCGTGATAAATTTGAGCCATACGCATTGGTGCGTGGACGTATTGATGATGAAGATTTAAAATGGGTGCTTGCTCCCGAGCAGCGCGCTAAAGGTTTGGATGAAATCCTTTCTTCTACAAAGTTAGAGAGAAGTGTATTACAAGATATATTGGATACAGTGGAACTTCCCCGCACGCAATATCGTAACTACAAGGGGAAATTACATAAATCTATTGAAGATGCAAATACACACCTTGCTGCTCGAAAAGAACAAATTGAAAAAGCCCGTGAATCAGAGATCTTGCGACAGATTGGATATAGTGAAGAAGAGGTAATGCAGGAAGAGCAATACCTTACCAATAGACCTCGTGGTGTAAAAACGTTAGATGATTTGGGTGCTAGTTTGCGAGAAAAAAAACGGAGACAACGTGCTGCTGAGACAAATGAAATGGAAGATTTATTGGAAGAACGTCGAACACAGCAACTAGAATCTGGTGAAATGACCTTTACAGAGTCAGAACTTCTTGAAAAACCAGAGGAATTATCTATTAAACCGAAACCTTATGGAACAAGGAAACAAGTGTATAAACGTATTTACGCTGCTGATTTTGGTAAGGATGAAGTAAATCAGGTAAAATTTCAGTGGTGGCTTGATCGAACACGACGTATTAAACGTGCTGTAGATACTATTCATGGTGTTCCCGTGTATAATGAGAGATTATCAGCAAATGAGGAACAAACACGAAAACAGATGCGAGAAGCAGCTGAATTTAATTTCTCTCTTGCTCAAGCCCAAGGGGCAAAGGGATTTACAGATCCACGTGGACATTACGATGACTTTATTTCGATTCTTCGTCAGAATAAGGATCTTAATGATGATAGTCGTGTTGAAGTACATGAGGATGATGTTCTGGAAAATGATGTATTTCGTTTTCCTCATACAAAAAATCATGGTCCTAAACCGTCTCCTAAACGGTTTGAAGACAAAGGGGAAGTACCTGAAAAGGTTTGTACAGATTTACACAAACTGTATGATGAGGAAGAGGCTACACAGGCCTTTCAGCAGGGTGTAAAGGCGGCAAAGGAAGTATATAAACAACACGCCATGAAAAACCGAGAAAAAGAAACTGCAGAGAAACCTATTGAGGGAGACACTCCACCACCAAGAGACCCTCACTCAGAAAACTGATAACTGTTCTGGTTTCAGTTTTTTTTGTTTTTCGTATTTATTTATTTTTGTTTTAATTTGATTTTATTTTTTCATTTCTCTGTCATGTTTTTTTTTTTTTTTTTTGTATTGTCTTTCTTTCCCCCTCTATGCTTATTTGACTGTGTATCGGATTATCACTGGTTGAGAACAATAATAACACTCTTGATTATTTCCAGTGTTGGTTGAAAAAAATGTTTCTCAAATGATGCGGAATGTTATCACTATTGAATAATGTTTTATCTCTATACTTTTCTCTGGAAACCGCAAAAAAAAAAAAAAGGTTCTTTGACGTTAACGTTCGTTGTATTTCTCTTTCAGCACAAGCACACATACTGGAAACGTAAAAGGAAATAGTTGAAGAAAAGAAGGAAGAACTACTACAGAACAAATCAAAAGACAGAAAAAACAAAGCAAGTAAGAAAGTCTACAACAAAAATATTTGCACAACAAAACAAGTGTTGACAATGGAAACGACGGATTTAGTAAAGACTCTACTAAAGTCTGAAGAGGATTGCCGTGCACTTCGAGAGGAGTTGGCCACACTCGAAAAAACGCGGCGTCTTAAAGAGCGTGGTGAGATGAGTATCAGCGATGATGCCATCAACAGCTCAGCCATTTCAAAAAGCAGCAAGTCTCGCACATTGACTCTTCCTATTGAGGCCGTAGGCGACCTCAATTCCAAGGCTGGTGAACTCTCATTGGTTGTGAAGAACCACAAAAAACTCTTACGGGAAAGGAAACAGCTTGAGAATATCTTGGAAGGTTCTATTGAACAAACTGCTGAGGCAAAGGAGGAGAATGAAGCACTGAAAAATACCATTGGATTCTCTGAAGGTGCCACTTTGGCAAATCTACGAGACGCTACAGATGCCATCGCGGCAAAAAATAAGTTGAAACATGATATTTTAAACGCCCTCTCAGATCGTGAAGTTATCAAACTCACTCTTAAACGTCAAACAGAGAATATAAAGAGTTTGACAGAAGAATTGCTGGCTTCTAAAAGTTGGGAAGAGCAGCGTGCAGATGCAGCTGAACAGCTTGAAAATAAAAAGACTGAGTTAAACAAACTTCGTGAAGAGGTTCAATCGATGCAACGTCTGTTGGGGCGAAAAGACAAACAATTGGATAATAAAAAACCAGTTGATGAGTTAGCCCTTGCAAAGAGTGCTGAAAATGATCGCCGTGTTGTGCTTCATAAACTAGATAAGGAGCAGGAATATGTACGTTTGAACGATATGGCGATTCGTCACCGAGCCCTTCAAATCGCAAAACTTGAAAAACGCATCGAAATGATAGGTGATGCTGTTGGCGGTAAAGATTCTGATGATGATGATGAACGCGTTGATATTGAATTACTTGAACAACTACGAAAAGAAATTCTCTCTTTGGGTCGTCTTCACATAGAGGCTAATGCTCGCCTCGAGGCACTTGATGCAGATGTTGCTGACCTCGATCGAAGATCCACCGGACTTGTGCGTACTACGGCGAATGTGCGAAAAGAGATGAGTCGTATTGAAAGGGAGCACCGAAAGTTTGTGAATGCCCAAAAGAAAGAGGTTGAAGTGGAGCAGGCCGCAGTGGATTATGAGATCAAACTAATTGAAAAGGAAATAGAAATGCTTCGTCAAGTCAATTCTCGAAATGGGCAACGAGTGGTGCGACAATAAAAAAAAACAAAAAAAAAACAAAAAAGCAAAAAAAGAACTTGAACTGTACGTTTTATATTCATTGGGTTTTCTTTCTTTGAAAATGACAATGGTTTATTATCTTTAGAGAGGGATTCCTCTACAGAGAGGTAAAACACGTTGAATGCAATTGGAACCGTTCCAGGTATAATTGCAATTCGCGCCATACTAAAGGTTTGAGAGAATAGGGTGTATCTGTACAAAAAAAAAAAGAAAAACAACAACATCAACTACGGAAGGATGGGAAATACGATAAGAATACAAGGAGTATGAGGGATAGTTGCAGGACATCGATATGTATATTGGGATATGCAATTGTTAACCCAGTCCTACGCCACGATGATCATAGTCAATAGTTGTAGATACGAAGGAAGGAAAAAAAAAAACCCACAGAAAAGCATGAAAAACGAAAAACAAACGAAAAAAAAAAAGAAAAGCAACAACAACACAATGGAAAACAAAAAAAAATCAAGAAGAAATATTCACCACAATGTATGCCTACCTAACGCGTTTACCTGTGTGTGTTGCTATTACTCACCAAGAAACCAGCAGAATATTTTATTTTTTCTGACGCACATTTTTTTCTCGACATTGCTTCACACTGCAACCAAGATTAGGGAACTCAAATGCAGTAATCTTTTAAACTACGCAATCATGTAAAAAAAAAAAATATTACTTTCTATTCCTTTACTAACCACTCACTTCCACAACTCTTTCCTCTACCTTTTTCTCCCCACAATTTGAATATCACATAAGAGATCATTGCACCTAGACACACTATTAAATCTCAAGATTTTAATACAAACCAATAAAGTAAAAAAAATCAATTGACTCTCATAAGTCTAATAATGTCCTCCATTACTGCTGCCACTTCTGCTATTATTGCTGCAACAGTATCACCTCAGTCAACGTCT